CCAGTCCATCCCAATCCCTCCCAGGTCAATTCCCAGTCCATCCCAGGTCAATTCCCAGTCCATCCCAATCCCTCCCAGGTCCATCCCAGCCCATCCCGGTCCCTCCCGCCCCTTCCCGCGCACCAGGCAGGGCCGGTGTGCGAATGCGTAGAGCGCGGGCAGGGGGTTGGTGGCCGGGACCCCGGCCAGGTGCAGCCCCACGAGCAGGGGCCGGGCCGGGCCCCCCTCGGGCGCCCCGAACCCCGCGGGCTCCTCCCGGACCAGCACGAAGTCGGGGCGCAGCCGCCTGCGGGGACGGGCCCCCAAACCCAACATGGGGACCCCAAAACCCAACATGGTGACCCCAAACCCAACGTGGGAACCCCAGGAACCAACACGGGGACCCAAAACCCAACGTGGGGACCCGAAAACCCAACATGGTGACCCCAAACCCAACGTGGGAACCCCAGGAACCAACACGGGGACCCAAAACCCAACGTGGGGACCCGAAAACCCAACATGGTGACCCCCCAAAACCCAACGGGGGACCCCAGGAACCAACACGAGGACCCCAAAACGCAACATGGGGACCCCAAACCCAACACAGGGACCCCGAAAGCCAACGTGGGAAACAAAAACCGAACGTGGGGACCCCAAAACACAACACAGGGACCCCAAAACACAACACGGGGACCCCAAAACCCGACGTGGGGACCCCAGAAACCAACGCGCAGACCAAAAACCCAACGCGGGGACCAAAAACCCAACACAGGGACCCCGAAACCCAACGTGAGGACCCCAGAAACCAACACGGGGACCAAAAATCCAACGTGGGGACCCCAGAAACCAGCATGGGGACCAAAAACCCGACACGGGGACCCCAAACTCAACATAGGGAGACCCAAAACCCAACACGGGGACCCCAAAACCCAACACGGGGACCAAAAACCAACACGGGGACCTGAAACCCAACGTGGGAACCGCAGAAAGCAACACGGGGACCAAAAACCCAACGTGGGGACCCCAAACCCAATGTGGGGACCCCAAAACCCAACACGGGGACCCCAAAACTCAACACGGGGACCAAAAACAGAGCATGGGGACCCTAAAACCAACATGGGCCCCCCAAACCCAACGTGGGAATCCCAGAAACCAACACGGGGACCAAAAACAGAGCATGGGGACCCCAAAACCCAACGTTGGGACCCCAAACCCAATGTGGGGACCCCAAAACCCAACATGGGGACCAAAAATCCAACATTGGGACCCCAAACCCAACACGGGTACCCCAAAACCCAATGTGGGGACCCCCAAACCCTACACGGGGACCCCAAATCCAGCGTGGAAACCTCAAAACTCAACATGGAGACCAAAAACCCAACTTGGGGACCCCAAAACCCAACGTGGGGAATTCCAAAAACCAATACGGGGACCGAAAACTCAACACAGGGACCCCCAAACCCAACGTGGGGACCCCAAAACTCAACACGGGGACCAAAAACCCAATGTGGGGACCCTGAACCCAAAACTTGGACCCCCGAAACCAACACGGGGACCCCAAAACCCAACACGGGGACCAAAAACCCAATGTGGGCACCCCAAACCCAACACGGGCACCCCAACGTTGGACGCCAAAACCCAATGTGGGGACCAAAAACCCAACGTGGGAATCCCAGAAACCAACATGAGGACCCCAAAACCCATCGTGGGGACGAAAAACCCAACAGGGGGACCAAAAACCCAACACAGGGACCCCCTGAACCCAACACGGGGATCCAAAACCATACGTGGGAACTCCAAAAACCCAATGTGGGGACCCCAAACCCAACATGGGGACCCCAAAAACCAACATAGGGATCAAAAGCCCAACACGAGGACCAAAAACCCAACGTGGGAACCCAAAAAAAACAATACAGGGACCAAAAATCCAACACGGGGACCCCAAAAATCCAACACAGGGACCAAAAACTCGATGTGGTGGCCAAAAACGCAATGTGGGGACCACAAAACCCAACACAGGGACCCCAAAACCCATACACAATCCAGCCTCGAAATATCAAAACCCAAGGGGAGACCCCCAAAACCAACATGGTCACCCCAAAAGCCAATGAGGTGACCCACAATTGCAACGTGGTCACCCCAAAACCCAACAAGATTCCCCCCAAATCCCAACGTGGAAACCTCAAAAACCCATGGAGGGTCCCCAATATCTCCCAGGACACTCCCCAAAGCCACAAGGTCACCCCAAAATAAGAGGGACAGCCCCAAAACGTCATGGGGTCCCCCCAAAACCCACCTGGTCCCCCCGTGAGGGCTGTCGATGGTGACCGTGAGGGCACCCGTGGTGGAGGCCACCAAGCTGAGCTCCGAAAACTGGGCCTGGGGCAAGGAGGGGGGCCCCCCAAATATTAGGGGACCCCCCTCAAAACCACCTCATGTTCCCCCAAATCTCCTTGGTGCCCCCAAAACCTACCAGGACCCCCCCAAAATCCCCCAGAGCCTCCCAAGTTCGATGGTTCTTCTGTGGGGCCTCTAAAATTGGTGATTTTGGGGGGATTTCAGACCCAAATTTGTTTGGGGGGAGGGGCCCTGAAATACGTGAGGGACCCCAAAATTCCTTGGATGGGCCCAAAATCATCCCAGGGGCCCCCCAAATCCACCTGGAGAACCTCAGAGAAGCTGGAACCTCCCCCAATTGGGACAAGTGGAGTGAAATGGGGGACCCCCAAATCCCCGGGGGGTCCCAACAAGCTCAAAGGGGCCCAAACCCCCCACGGGTGCCTCCAAAACCCTCTGGGTACCCCCAAAACACCCTAGAGATCCCCAAAAACATCCAAGGACCCCCCCAAGTCCCCCCAATTCGGCTCTGAGGGGCAGGAGACCCCCCAAGAGCCTCCAAATCCTTCGGAGATTCCTCAAATCCCCCCAAAAACCATCCCGGAACCCCCAAAAATGAAGGGGGGGGTTTGGGGGGTCCCTAAAATACCCCGGGAGGGGTAAAAATACCCCGGGGGGAAATCCCCCGGGGGGGGGGTAGGGACCCCCCCACTGACCTGCTCCACCCGGACCTCGACGTCCCCATGGAGCTTCCTGCCCTTGAAGAGCTTCGCCCTGCGGAGGAGCCCCAAAAACGGGCGGAATGGCCCCAAAAATGGGCTGGAAAGCGGCCCCGAGGGCCCAGGCGTCCGGGAAATGGAGGGAGGGATGGAGGGATGGAGAGGATGGAGGGAGGGATGGAGGGGGTGGAGGGATGAATGGAGAGGATGGAAGGAGGGGATGGATAGAGGGATGGAGGGAGGGAAGGGATGGAGGGGATGGACGGGATGGAGGGATGGGGGATGAAGGGGATAGATGGAGGGATGGAGGGGATAGAGGGGATGGAGGGATGCAGAGATGGAGGGATGGATAGAGAGAATGGAGGGATGGAGGGGATGGAGGGAGGGAGGGAAGGAGGGAGAGGATAGAGGGGATGAACGGATGGAGGGAGGGATGGAAAGGATGGAGGGAGGGATGGA